TTTATCTAATACTATTTCTTCACTAGTACTGCTTTTACTCTGCAAATTAACATCGTCAATATGTTTGGATGTAGAACTTTTATTATCCTCCTTATTTACAGGAGCAAGTGATTTTTCTTCATTTATATCTTTAGAAGAATTAATTGATACATCGGAATTTGAATCATTCTTTGCTGTTACATCAGTTGCTGATATTTCTATATTTTCTATTTCTTTGTTCTCAGTTAATTCTTTTTCATCGCTAACCTTAGTCATATTAACATCAAAAGTATTTTCTTTTTCAATATCGTCATTTGTACTAGTAGTAATAGCAGTACTAGTAGTAATAGCAGTACTAGTAGTAGTGGTAGCTGTTGTGGTAATAGTAGTTATATTAGTAGATGTGTCGGATGTAATAGGATTGTTTACAGTTTCATTTTGATTTATTTCATAAGTTTTTTTAGCATTATTTTCATTCTTATTTAAACATTTCTGTACAGGGCATGATTCACAGTTCTTATCATCTTTGGTTTCATTTAAAACAAAATCAGAATTTTTCACGTTGGATTCAATAAGTTCTTCACCTTCTACATCCTGAGTTTCTTCAATTACAACATCTGGTATTGTACAATTTCTTGAAATATTTAATTGAGAATCATCTGATTTATCTGAATGATGACTATCATCATTATGAACTTTATTTTTTTCTATACTTAAAGCATCTTCTGAGGATGAACTTCTTAACAACTTAGTAACAGGATTATCAACAGTGTCTGCTTTACGTTTGAGACCCATTTTTTCAGATGTACCATGAACCTCCTTTTTAGATGGCGAATACGTCATAGGAGGCGTACCTTGGACAATATCATTCTCATCATCGGTATCATCCTTTTGGTCATCAAGTTTAGAACTATCATCCGCAACATTATCTTTTTCATTGCTTTCAACAACTTCACTTTTCTTTTCTAATTCACTCGTTTTATCTTCAGCTATCTCATCTAGTGTCTGACTTTGTTGCGTATTCGGATCATCTTTAGTTTTTGAATTATCATTCTCAGATTGAATTTCTAATTTATTTGTAGATGAATTTATTTCATCAGTATCAACAAGTTGAAAATCCTGACTTTCATTTACAGCACTACCTTTTGGATTTTCATAATAAGTATCTTGCGTATCCATTGTAGTATCTTCCATCTTTTCTACGTCTGACATCTCTACGAATGTTTTGTATGTACGCTATAATTCAAATATCAATTTATTAACTATTTATATATATATATATATATATATATATATAAAAAAAAAAAAAAAAAAAAAAAAGAAAAGAAAAAAAATGTACAATATTAATTAATTTATTTAAAGAAATAAACGATGGAAAAAATGTATACTTTATTTATTAAAAAATGAAGAGAAAAAAAAGACAAGAGAGAGAGAGAGAGAGAGAGAAAGAGTGAAAATTGAAAAATGGAAAAAGAAAAAAAAAATTTTCTTGAAAAGTTAAAAATCGAAATTTTCAATTTTAAAAAGTATAAAAAATCGAAAGGATTATACGTTTAATGTTCAATAGTATAACTTAATATGACCATTGATATACATGCTCTATATATACGTATATGTTTACATGGGACATCACATGAGAAGATAGAAAAAGCATTAGTAACAATGCTACTTGTTACAAGCGGAAAGAAGGTTACGGCGGGAAGATCGTATTGGTATAATATAATCACGGAAATAAATAAATTAAATGATATGCGTACCAATATTTACCGCATGTGTTGTGGCGATTTCTATTCTCAATAATATATTGTCGTTAACATCAGAATATTGCATTTACTGCACAAACTGAGTCACGTTCGCCGGCTGTTCTAAGCGAGGGCTTCTTTAATATTTTTTTTTGATTCTCGTATTACCTGGCCCAATTTTTCTTCGATATAATTATAACAAGGAACAATTATATCTCGCTTTATCTTAAAAGATACAAATTATAATAACGGATTGATATCGGACGACAAAACGCGCATAAACGCCAGATTTTATTCACAAAAGAATATAAAACACAAAACGCCATCGCCACTTTACGGCTGCGTAGGTTACAGTATGCTTTACTCTAATCAACATAGATGGTGAAGTTATACCTTTTTTTTTTTCATTACGTTGCCGTCGTGATTGTATATTAAAAGTAACCAATAAACGAGTATTCCACCAATGACGATATAGTCCACTTTTTTTTTTCACATTATTTTATTAAACTTGACAAAAAATTTTTATTCATTATAATAAAACGTATTTATTTATCAAGAAAATTATTTTCTCTTTATTAAAGAAATAATATATAACAAATGAATGTTTATTAAATGAATTGAATTCTACCTTTCCGGCAATAAAATTTAACGAGTCCAGCTCATTTATTGGTTATTTTCATTTATACGCTAGTTCTTTTTCAACATAATGTCTTTATTATATATATATATATTAATATAATAAAAATATGTTACTTTTATTTTTATTTTATTACGATTAAATATAAATTTTATAATGAATTATTATCTAAGACGATTTGTTGATAAACTCTTAATTGACTGTGGACCAATGAGAGAAGAGAGGAGAAATTATATGTCGACGACGAAAGCGACGCTATTCGTGTAAAGCTAATAGCTTTAAATACGCCCGGGATTTTTGAAATACAATAGAATTTATATTTATACTAAGTAATAAATAACATATCAAATATTTTTATTATATATTAAATTTTAATATTATTTGTTGTAATAAAAATGTTACTAAATAATATATTATTTTTATTAACATTATGAATTTTATCCTTTATATATAAGTTTGTTATATATTATTGACCCTTAACTACTATATTTTTCGAATAAAAAATTTCAGCAACGCGTTTGAAAGAAAAAGATGAAAATATTTTTACAAAAATTCATAGGCTCTTTTGTTGCTTTTTGAATAATGCATTCAAGTGTACATTGACTATTTATTTGCATGTGTGAATTTAACTCTTCTCTGTGCTTTCATTTGCAATAATACATTTAGACATTTATTCAAATAATGAGTAAAAATAAAATTATTTACTTTTAGAAAAAAAAAAAAAAGCAATGAACAAAAAACAGCTTATACAATGATAACTATCGTAGAACAGTAGGCGTATAACCAAGAAAATATCTCGATATAAGTGAGAATTGAATTTCTATACATTAATTATTTTTTCTACAATACTTGTTAAATAAATTTTTAATGAAATGATAAACGTAAATAAACATCATCGAATAATTTATGTTATTTTACAATCATTTACTAAAATATAAATGAACGACAAAATGTAAATAAAAACAAAGATAATTTTCAATAAACTGATTTTAAGATTAATCGACTATCGATATGCGATAGATTATAATTCAAGATAAAATCTTATATATAAAAGTATTTCTTAGTAAATTGGAATTGTTTATGAAATTTATTTATTTTTTTTTTTTTTTTTTTTTGATATACGTAAGAAAATTATTATTTCATTATTATTTTCTTCATTATCAACTTTTATTCAGGTCAGTCCCATATCAAGAAAAATCCATGATAATGCATGAAACATTAATAATATCATATATTAAAGAATAATAAAAACTGATGATTGATTTATTAAATTCATTTTCCTGAAATAGAATTATCTAAATTTAATAAAGAGAAAAACGACTATTTAATCTTTCCATGACAAAAGTCATCTTACTCGTTTTAATTTCTTTAAAATAAGATAAGAATTTAATAAAACTAAGAAAACGTATAATACTTATTTCAGCGATGACTCGGCTATGAAACGGACATAATAAATAAAATCACATTCGTCCGGGAACCTAACCTTTTTCTAGATCAGTGACGTATCACGAGATTAAATCATCGCCATGATGCGACTGAGAAGAGAGAGAGAGTGAGTGAGAGTAAGAGAGAGAGAGAGAGAAAGAGAGAGAGAGAGAGAAAGAGAACGCAATTTCAAGATACGAATACGAAAGCGACGAGTTAAAGTTAAAATCATTGAACCAATCGAGTTCGTTGGCGTCCCCTTATTTGAAATTTGCCACATAACCGAGGCGCGCTCTATCGGTACAATAAGGAAATGATAACTATGTGGAGAGAGAGAGAGAGAAAGAGAGAGAAAGAGAGAGAAAGAGAGAGAGAGAGAGAGAGAAAGTGTATCTAGGTGATGTCGATTGAGAACCGCTGTCATCAGCGTGTAGGGGCGTCGTTGCTCTGCGTGCAATGTGTATCGTGTAGGCGTTGGCGAAGGAGGAGACGAGTA